TGCACAGAAGACCACCCGCCGAACATCCCGATCACCGCGCCCCCCGCAGAGCCCAACATACCAACTTCACCAACAAGCGAGGCAGAAACAAACCATCAAGAACATCGCTATTAAACCAACAATTCCCTCCCGACACTTGAACTGACAAAATTTAAAAGACAGGGATACCATACAAGAATTCCACAGCACCCTCGCCGCCCGAAACCTAGGTCCTTTATCAACCTTTTGCCTTTTGTTTCATCTGAAACCCGAAGCTCCTAAACGCTACAGTAAAAAGCCCGAAGTACTCCCGAAATACTATCCACACTCCATCTACCAAAGCAGAGAACCCCTATAGAGCCCTTGTAGAACCGTTATAAAAGCCTGATAGAATTAGAACCCCTGTAGAACCCTTATAGAAACTTCAATAGTAACCCTAACTAACCCGAAAACAGTAGCCCGAATAACATCTTTTTTTACACAGGCTTGAGATTGGTAACCCCTTAACCCTAAACCCCCCAGCTCCGACCCCAAACCCACTCTTCACGCCCAGCTTCCTCGAACGAAGCGCCGTAGCTTCCGAGTGTCCACTCCGTCCGGCAGCTGCCGAAGAACCTGCGGATCAAGGGTTTAGGGTTGAGGGTTTAAGGTTTAGGTTTCAAGGATTATGGAGGATTGAAGGTTAGGGTTTAGGTTCGGGTTCAGGGTTGATGGTTTAAGATTTAAGAATTAGGGTTTATGGTTGAGGGTTTAGGTGTTCAGGATTAAGTTAAGGTTTAGGGTTGCGGATGGAGGATTTAAGGATTTTTGGGGGTTATGGGGCTCATCAGGGTGCGGAGATTCAAGGCTTGGGCAGGGCTGGCAAGGGTGCACAGGCTGAACAAGACCTGAACCTTACGTTTACTAAAGCCTGAAACCCTAAGCTGAAAGGTTGTGGGTGGCTAGACTGCAGATGAAGTCTAGATAGCTATTCCTGAACCCAAATAAAGCCTGAACCACAAAACAGATTGGCCACTGTTCAGGCATTCAAAAGTCCTGTTTCAACCCAACACTTTTTTTTTGAACCCAGGCTCTTTGTTATCAGCTGGGGAACAACCCAACTTCTAAACCCAGCGCGACAAATCTTACACCATGAAGCCCCCTAAACCAACGCCTGCCAGACTTGAGCTGGCAATCCATACCCTAAACCGTAAACCCCTCTAAATAACCCCCTAAGCCCTAAACCCTAAACCGTGGAAACCCTAAACCCTCAATCCCAAACCCTAAACCCTAAATCCGAAATCCCCTCCAACATGCTCCTCCCAAAACTGTCTGCGATGACTGGAATCACGTCCTCCTGGCCTTGTCTTAAACAAACACTTGTGTTAGGATTCAACCCTAAACACTAAATCCTCAACCCCAGGGCGATTCCGCCAAGGGTCCTGAATTCTGCATGCAAGTCTTGTCTGCTGCGGCTGAGATGATGAACACCACCGCCACATGCCACGGCTGCCACATCTTTGGAGCGGAGGTGGGACTCTGTTCAGCTAAGTTTTTCCGTGCCTTGCTTGGCTCAACTCCAACATACCGGCCGGCATGACGATACGCTTGCGACCTCATAACTTCAAGAAGACCCGAAACGGCCTCGGACTGCAATGCTGTTAGGGTTCGTCTCAAACTGGGGGAGTTCTGTTTTGGGACACAGCGCCTGCACGGTTCTTCTGTGACGCTTAGGATGCGTTAACCACATCGCCAAAGGGGCTTTAACCAGGAATCCCGAAATACATCCAGAAAAATGAATCTCTGGGCATAAAAAAAGTGCGCCTAAGACCACCAATGGTATTCCTACCTCAGGGTTTAGGGTCAAGGGTTGAGTTGAGGGTTTACGGGTTAAAAGGGTTTAGGCCTTAAGGGTTTGCAATTTAGGGTGTGCAGCTTGGGGTTCACAGGGTGCATGCTGTCCAGTTCAACCTGTTGTCCTCCAACATCCAGAAGTCTTCTCATGCGCTCTACTATGGAGGAGAATTTGGTGGTCTTGGCTGCCTGAAGGCTCAGGGAACTTAGTACGTCGGGAAAAACCTATAAGCAAACTCAGGGAACTTATAGGTGGACTTGTATTCTAACCTAATATACGTGCTACAAACACAAACAGGGCCTCTAGGCCTTTAGGGATAACAGGCCTGTAGGCCTTTAAGGCCTTTCGGGCCTTTAGGGTCTTTACGGTCTTTCGGGTCTGTTTGGGGTTTAGAGTGTAGGGCTTGGGGCTTAGGGTTTATGGTTAAGGGACGGAGCTGGTCTTCCGCAGCATGGAGCGCTGCGGCCACATTGGGCCTTGGTCAGTTCACGCACTGGGACGTGACAGAAAAAGGAGGCCGAAGTAAGAAGTAGGGTTCAGGCTTTAGGGAGTTTAGGTTTTAGGGTCAGGATTTATGGTCTAGGGTTTGGGATTTGGGGTTTAACGTCTCGGCATGAGGGTTTAGAGTGTAGGGTTCAGGTTTTAGGGTCACGGCCTTGTTTGGGCTTAAGTGCCACGACGAGGGGTCCATGAGATTTGGGATTGTCGAGACTCCACGAACTCCGTAGTTCAAACACCCTGTCTGCGGGATCGACGGCCCCAAACAACGACTGCCTGAGAAACACGTTGCACACCCACACCCCCAACCCTAAACCCCAAACCCCTAAACCCTAATTAAGCCACAAAGCTTGAAACTCTCAAACCCTCAAACCCTGGACCAAAGCCCTACAAGCCATCTGAACCCCACTGGCTGTCTTCAAACTGCCCGTCTTGGGCTCTTGTCGGGACTGCGGGAAATGCTTCATTCCGCAGGCTCCCAAAACTTATACGTGGGATACTGAAAGTTACGAACACGGATTTAGGGTTTAGTAGGGAAGCATGCAGACTAGGAGACACCAACGTGGCCTTCCCAGCGTCCCTGAATTGCGCTCAGGACAAAAGCCAGAGAGCCCGATACCCTCTGGAAAAGTCCACAAATCATAGTGGGTTTACTGGATACCAGCCCTCATTTCACAGAACCTATCTACTTCAACCAAGGGATATTTCTCAAATCGCAAACCTACTCAGAATATTCTGAAGCAATCTTCCTCAATCCAGGGATACTGGGCTCCCTAGGAGCAGTTCATGCACACTGGCGTCTCGCGACGATGTTCGTCCAAGCCACCACGCAGCATCCCTAAACCCTTGAACCCTGAACTCTGCAAGCCCTGAACCCTTTTTACACAGGCTTGATTGGAGCTCGCCCGGCCAATGTCCTAAACCCTAGACTGAATAATGATAATAATCATCATCATAAGAATCATCATGGTAATAATAGTAATAACAGTAATAATCATAATAACAATAATAATACTAATAACAATAGCAAAAAGTAGTAACAAACTAATAATAACGACAATCATAATCATAAGAATAAGAATTAGACTAAGAATAAAGAATAAGAGTAAGAGTAAAGAATTAGAATCATAATAAGAATAAGAATAAGAATAACCATAAGAAGAATAATTATCATAAATCCCTACCTTGGGTGAGACGATGGACATGATGCGGACTAATGGAGTGGAGAGCGATGCTGGCATGGTATGTTGGAAACCTGGAGGTTTTAGCCTGCGCCCAGGGAGCCTCATATCC